TTACATTGTTACGTTGTTAAAATTTATGGATCCAATTAGACAGTTGTTTAGTACATTATGCACTACTAATACTGCAATGGTTAAATAACCATTACCTACAGCGATGGATAGGTCGAGGAGAACCAACCTTATAATCTCTAAAATCATCAGATATGACGCCAATGGATTTCTACTTGCGAAGAACTGCAAAAGTAAAAGTTTATAAAGACCATTAAACCTGCATGAAGAGTTAGGGCAAAGGATTAATGACACATTTGCTGAAATTAAGAAAAAGAAGATGATATCAACAATATGATCTAATCTATTTTTTGTTTAGATGTCAATCCTGCGTTTGTAATAATGGACATAATTTTGGAACTTGGAAGCAATCTATTGTTATTTTATATTTTATTTGTAATTTTACTTGTAGAATACGCTTACGTCAACATAAATAGATTTCGTTTAATTTAGTTTTGTTAGATTATGCAAATATAAACTATAATAATTTTTTTTTTCACTTTGTTTATAGAATGTATTGACAAACTTTTATGGGGACAAATTTGGGCACCTTGTAGAACATTCGCTTATATTATATCTTAATAAAGAATGAGTTCCAGTCTATTATTTTTCTATCCAAATTATTGATAATCTGCTCCTCATTATGTGCTCGTTCCTATATCTTGTTTGTCGCTTACCTTGGTAGGTTTAGTTCGCAGCAAGAAGACGCGCAGAAACTGAATTCATACGAAGGTGAAAGGCGAAGTAGATGAAATCGTTTGTTCTAATATTACAGGCTGACCCCTGAACCACGAAAATGGAACTTTGTAGGGTAGAAATTGTCCGGGTGACGTTGCAAATGGATCCGGATTCTAAACGAGTCCTTCCGTATATTTGCACTTGTACGCGCGTGTTTTCGACGTCTTTGGTGTCAACCATCGGTTGTAGCATTGCAACAAAATGTTTTTTTTAGTTACTTCCTTCGAGTCAAATACAATATAGATTACTAAACAGAAATCCATTGCATCTATTACAAAGTAGTCCTACAGCTGATCAATGTTAAGATTAATGATACCATTTTCATGTGGGCCAGATTTATCAACAAACTAACGTTCTGTTGCACCCAGTAAATTCTTTTATAACTATTTTAAATAACTGTGTTTCAAAAAATAGTTTTTAAGTATACATACGTTGTTGGAGGTTTATTTCTTCCAGAATATTTTTTTTATAGCCAAACGACGACGACTGCCGCCACTTGTATTTTATTCTTGTCGAATTACACTTCGTTTGTCGAATTCGACGATTTATTCTTGTTTGGTGAAAGCAACAGCGACGACAGCTTTTCCGGGCTCCAGTTTTCAGCGGTTTCATCGGTACGAATGCAGTGAATCGACCGGATTAAATACAGCGGGACTCATCAGTAAGGACTATGGCACGTGGTGGATAAATCGTGATTGCGTAATATCGCGCGAGTAGAATTGCGTAAAAGCAAATATGCAATAGACTACCTGAACGTCCTGTATTGTACGATTGTCTCCTTTCTCCGCGCCGCGTTTCGCAGGAAATGCCTGCCTTGCATTTCCCGACATTGTAACCACCCCGTCGAGTTCGGAGTATTGCCAGCCTCAACGTTTGAATTGCATTACCTATTATTGCTTATTGTTCGCCGCTCGGTTCGTATGCTACGCTTCCCATTTCTGTTAGACTAGTTCCACCCTTTTTGGTCAACCCTTTCTTCATCCCTTCTCGCGTTTCTTCCTTTTCGACTCCGCGAAAAGTTAGGTACAATATTTGAGAGGTGCCGACACTCTAACCGATTAACTGTCATAGTCTTCATTTAAGAATCATACACATTTAAGGGGGTGGTCTACTGTGTCACGCAGTTTTTTTTACTGTTCTTTGGAATTTTTTCGCAAAAAAAATAAATAATTTTTTACAAAAAATATTTAAGAGCATATCTGTACATGTTTTGGTAATAATTATAATTTTGTTCATCTAAAGAAAATCAAAATTGTCGATGTTACATACTCTCGTTTGTAGTCGTTTTAAAACAACATCGTGATTTCGGTTTTCCTGTTTAACTGACATAATAAAATTAAAATTATTCCTCGCTAAATTGAGTGCATCGATAACCCCAAGTAAAATAAATAAAAAATATTGATGATTAAATCAATAACAGCTATCTGAAGTTTAATTACCGATTTACACATGTTTTTCAAACTACGAGGCTAAAAAAAAAAAAAGAAAAAGAATGCAAATTTAGAAATAATTCTAGTACGAACTATAGCCCAATTCTTACCGAATATTAATGTAAACTTTGATATTAATTGGTCAAGTAGATTTTCAAATATCATTGACACTAACCTAAAAAACATAGTTTCGAGAGAAGCGTTATTAAACTTTTATATCCATATAAGAGTGACCCAATTATCGCGATCTTCAGACAACTACAATTTCATTATTTTTAAGAATTCGAACATTAACTTTTGCAATATATTTTCAATCGTATATTCTTTAAAGAAATTAAAAAAAGGAAAATCGATTTTTTCAATAGTTCACAGTAAAATACTCCCGTTAAGGGTAGTGTGATTAATTGCACCTGCTTTTTCTGTGTTGTAATTTATCATATTTTCTAATTGCCTAGTCTGTTATGCCTTTACACATAGTATGTATTATTGTTATTTGAAAAACAGATTTTAATTAAATTCATTGAAGAAAACTACAGTCAGTCATATGACGAGTTGATTCTTCTAACCAAGTAACATACAACCCTGATAATTACAAAATATTATATTTATCTACTGCAGTCATATTTCTTACCCCTGTACGTTTCTATTTTGTAATTTCGAGACAAAAAGAAATTATTTAATTCTAGTAGTAAAGCGAATAAATAAAAAATGTCATCATGTATGGTTAACACTTAGTATGTGGTGTGAAATATAAGTGAAGTATCTCAGCGTAAGGCGAAAATGTTGCTCAGAAAACTAAGATAGGGTCTCGGGTGAAACAGTTTCTCTTTTGACGAGAGAAAATCTCCAAGGTGGAACTTCAAACGAGATGTCATTGATCTAATTCACGGGGTAAATGACTCGAGAAATATAATCCATGGCGGTGCCGCGCTTCGAACTTTGGAAATTTCTTACTCTTACAACTTGTAGTCGTTAGGGATCGTCACATGTTAGTTCGTCTTTCTCTTAGCTTCGTCTCCTTCGGCTGTGTCAATCCCAGAGAAAGCGGTGACATTGTCGTGTTGAAATTGTGCGTAACTATGACAATAGTTCGGCAGGATTGGCGAAATTAATGAAAATTCGCGCGGGACTCGGGAAGAAGGGGTGAAGAAAGGGATGAAATCCTCCGCTGGGATCAGATATTTCGGATGAAGAAGGAAGAGAAGAGGAAGGATCGGTTAATCGTGACAAATACTGATCCGGGATTGCCGAATTATAAACTAATGTCTTGAGGAAACTTTGCCCCAAATGGCTTTCTCTACCCTTCTTCCCAATTACAACCCCGATTGCCTGGCCAATGTTCCAACACAGACTGCGCTTTGCGAGTTTTGAAAACTTATTGAAAACCAGTATGCAGCAAAATGGTATTATATCTTACTATAGAGGGTGTTCCAGTAATCGCATTTTTCATGCAAAAACAAGTTGAAAATATAAAATAAAATTTATTTGTGTCACCTTCCTTTATCGAAAAGAGCAACTTTGAACATTTGTAGGTTGTGGCGCACACAACTAATTGTGAATCCCAGGTTCAGTTCTATATTTTGTAAAATGACAATTTAGCAAAATTATTCTTAGAAAGTGTCTCTTGATTTAAGAAATCATTTTAATCAATTATAACCTATACAGAAATTTTTTATAGCGAAACTAACGTTATAGTTCTGACAATCTATAGGATATATAAACAAAGACCTTGGTTCAGAGCATGCATCAATGTTCAAGGTCACCATTTTGAACACTTGTATTAGTCGTGTATTATTCTTATATAAATAAATCAACGGTGCTTGATCATTTCCTCAAAGTAAATTATTTTCCATCACAATTGACTTAACACAGACCAAGAATGATCTTTCCATAGGTCATTGTATTCGTCTTGAAATACTCTATCAGAATGCAAGTAAAAAAACATACCGTTCCATTTAAAAAAACAGAGATTACACCTTCATATCACCCTTGATGACTCCACCTATCAAAAAACTAGTAACATCGGATGATCTGCCCTTCGTTACCAAATAATTTTGGCCTCGTGCATTTTTTCCTATCACCAATAGCAGCCAAGTTATTCAAGTGGCCGGTTTTAAGTGCCTCACCCTGTATGAGTATTTTTATATTCATTTATTTATTTATACTCTGATAAGAGACCGTCTTATTACTGACAATTATTAAACCTGTACGAAAAAGGATTAGCAATGTATTTGTGATTAAATTTGAACCCGGAACAAAAAATTCATAAAAAGCACACTAATCACTACATCAGAACAACCGCTGAACGATCTCATTGTTCAATCATACTTACCTGATTCTAGGGTTTTTCCAAATCTGTATACTTATTTTTCTCAAAATTGGCCAATCATCTGTGGTTTAAATTTTTGTTATGTTTATTCTAGATATAGATCCACCATCCTGTTAAATTTCATTAAAATCTGCGAACGTCATTTCGGAGGTTTCCTTTATCAGGCATAAATACCGTTTTTGCTATTTGGACGTTTACAATGGGATACCAAATTTAATTTTTTGGCAAGACAGCGCTTTCAACTTTCAGTGGATATCTAGTCATGTAAACTGCACTGTAGAAGTTATTAAGAGGTGTAATTTTGCGCGATGGTGCCAACTCCAGTCGATTGAGGTTTAATATTCTAATTTATTTAATATTATAATATGTACAACTTGATAAATGCGTGCCTTATCGAATAGTCGATTTTTTCTTAAGGGGGGGCCTCTATGTGGATGAGGTAAAAAAAGTCATTTTTTTTTATTGTTTCAAAAGTTAGTTTGAATCTTGTAGAATGCGAAACGCACTGGTATTTGGAGTGGAGCACAAAGCTATTGCTTTGAGAGCCTGCACTCGTGACCCACCTTCGCCCCAAACGCGATCCGAGTCGCGCGCGTTAGTACAATGACCGGAGAGCTGTTTCTTTACTATCCTTGGTTTAAGTGCTTCTATGTATATCTGTAATAGGGAATAATTTAATAAAAAAATTATTTTTTAATAACTTTTTAATGAAGCCGCAGTCGAGACATTGATATTCTCGATTTTCGTCTTATTTTGGCCTCAAGAATCTCCCAATAAAATTTTTCCCAGGAGTGGTCGAACACCCTGTATAATTGTTAAGGTAGGAAAAACACTTATTAAGATAAAACTTATGTTTCAAAAGTATGCGTTAACGAAATAAAATTGATAAAAACGGCACCCATTAATTGCACTCGTATTCAGGCTCTCCCGACACGATCGGGTAGCTATAGAAATTGGTCTCCTAATTTCCCCCGCGGCGGGACGTTGAAATAACGCATTCGCTCGTTTCGTTTCATTTATCTCGTCTTTCCCATTACGAGATATTTCGGTAATAGCATCAGAATCTGAGCGATCGCGAGAGAAGGACGTACGGTTCCATTTCGATGTCCCTCGTCATAATTTCATATATCAGAATCCACAAAAGGTCGGGGCGGGCGACGTTTGTCGCGAAAAGATCACATGTAGGGACGCAGCCGGGTATAATGAGAACCAGAAAGCGTCAGCGGCATCTAATGTCGGAAATTATAGCATATTGCCAATAAAATCCTAACCAGGGTCCGCCCTTGTACGAGCCAACTAAACAGGTTTCTCCTGCTCTTCGGGGGTGGCGGGCTTATTGTAACGAACGTCGGAACCACGTTTTGCCATTACACAAGATCTCGTCTCGGGGGAACGCCCGATACGCCGATAATACTACGAGCCGATAATTCGGTTACACTACGATCTTCCTTTCTTCTTGCCTTTCGGGCAAATACGCGACCGAAATAAGAAAGTGCACATGGTACGTATAGTTTTTTTTATTTAACCTGCCAAACGTGAAATATAGAACTGTTCTGAATGCATAAATAACAGCCACTACTCTATAGCGTCGTACGTGAGAAAAGTAGAAAACAATATAATCAATGAAACATGCAAGCAACGAAGGTCGTAGATTACTGTGTAACTTAAATAATAACAATTCATAATTATTTACAAGCTCCCAAGTTGCTCGAAGTGTTAATTATCTTCCAAATATAACATTACGTAATATCCGTTTCAGAATCATTGGCGTCAACACAGGCATACTTCCTGTTACGTTGATACGAAATCTCTGTTTGCGCCACCATTCTTCTCACTTTCATCCAGCCCGACATTCTTCCTTGCCTTTGAGCATCTTTGAAGCCAATGCAGCATCTACAGCACGCTTCCGAACAGTCGGAAGCATCGCTCTGAATCTGGCATACTTCTGCGTTACAGTTGTTTAACCTCGAACTGCCTTCTGTCTGAAGCATTTAAAACTATAGAGTATAAGACACCAAGACAATATTAATACCCTCGTTAAAAGTCTAAAGAGTTTCTTTAGTTTCTAAGAGAAAATCCCAACGTCGCACAGTAATCGGAATTCCCGATCTAGATGGACAAAAATAAAAAACCGACTAACTGCAATTGTAAAAAGACTGTTACTAGTCGTTTAGGGAGACACTGTATGACTCAGAAGCGATAAATTGTTTTCTTAATTTTTCCAGGTACTATAGTTTATTAGTCCGCTACACATCGTTGTCGAGTAAACATTTTTCTCAAGCCTAAATATCGTGAATTTCATTTGATAGTGCCATGGATACATCAATTGAACTTTTTCCCATTTCTGTGTCAACTTAGAAAAAAGTAAAATTACATAATGGGGGTAAGAAGGTCCGGTCATTTATTGTAATTTTTTACTCGATATTTTCCCCATCTCTGCCCACCATGGATCTTGTGGGAATAGTTAGGGAGAATTAGCTACTTGGGAATTGAAAACTTATATCCGTAATTTTCCATACAACTTTTTAATTTGATTTTTAATATCATTGGACCATACTAATAGGAAAATACTATTTGATGTCTGACATCAGGAGAACAAATAAAACAACAAGTCTGTTTTGATGGAGTATATCACTCAAAATTTGAGTACGCAAAGCTTATAACATATTATTTATGACGGATGATAAAGAAAGTGTTGAGTATTTACAAGTTATTTGAAAAAAATGAAACCCTTATGCCCATAATGCTATGAACTTGAAACACAAGTATGCAAAATGGCTGGCTGAAAGTTTTAATTTTCGCGATATTGTTGGTAGAATTGAATTTACTACATCGATCAGCGGGAAACGAGATCGATCGAAAAAGCTATTTCCAGAATGTAAGGAAAAACAAACGAAAAGAAGATAGAACCGTTTATAAAATTCAACAACAAAGAACTTTTATATACAACAGAGAAAGTCTTTGGATTTCGTAAGTAAGATGGTATAAAAATATCGTGGAAAATAATTGAAAGTACGAATGAAGTTTCTATTTCAAAAAACGAATTGAAAAACTTGGAAGAAGCAGCTCCGGTCAAAATGACAGCCGATGAAGAATTGGCTTAATATATTGATTGAAAGTTGACAAAGAAGTAATATAAAACTATAAGAAAAATACTAAACAACATAATCCAGATATACATATATGTATCCATAATATTTTTTTATTTATAGTTATTCAGAAAATAATCGAAAGTTGTACTACCTATAGACACAAGCCCTGACAGTGATAGCGAGAATGATAGTGATTGGTAAATACTGTAAGTAGAGTTTGTACATAGGATTTTGCATCTTAGTTTATATTGACTTTATATTATGACGTTATATCTTTATATAGTTTATATCTTAGTTATACACTTTATTTATTAATAGTACTGGAATTACGTTTAACGATATATTTTATAAATTGTATTTGATTACATATTTTGTTAACTTCAAGAACATTTATTTCATTTTAGAGTAATATTTATAAACTCAACAACTACCAGAACCTTTTAGAATAGTGTACTGAAAAAATTCCAATACTTGACCGATACCTTTTTTCGACCACGCATTGATTCGATAAAATTCACTCAATAAATCACAGGGTACACCAAAATGGAGAAAACAGATGCTTGGAATTTGAAAAGGCACTTCCATGTATCATTATAGGTTTTATAACTTATTTGTATAATGAAGAATTTTTGTCTACCTAGATCGGGCGTTACGACCACTGCGCGTCGCGTGTCCTCTGAATTTAAAAATAATTGTCATAAACCTGGATAAACAAACATATCAATGGAAATCGTGAGCTTACTTGCCGCTGACCTAATTTTCAGATGTCATAAGAAACAAAAACTAGTCGACGTTATTTGAAACAAATGTTAAATACTGTAATTTATCACCTATGGTAATTTTATGTATCGTTTTCTTTCCTTTATTGCACATTCTCTAATGATTATTCAAATTGTGCAAATGGAAGATTAGATCTACCAATGACTTGTTTAGTTATTTCTTTTAATCATTTTTAGTACAACTTATTTTTATACATTTTTCGTGACTTTTATTGAAATATCCAAATGATTAATTCTGTAATGTGGTTCTCTTTTTTCTTATTCTTTTTTTATTTTGATTTCTCGCGAAGTGTAGATAAATTTTTGACATATTTGCGTCGGTTTCGAAAGTGTAGAGGAAATTCATGGAAAATAGTTAGGTGTATTATAAACCGTAAGTTGTCATTACAGTTGATGAACAAATATAGTAAGGTTTACCCAGTATATGCCAAGCAAACTGGATAAGTCTGGCATAAAATTGACATCGAATGCCAAAAGTAATTATATTGTTAATGGATTACTCCATTTGGAGAAAAATAAAATCAGATCATGCATGCTTTTAGATGAATTTGTTGTCTTCAAACTTGGGAAATCATACTACATACTGGAAGCAGAAAAATAGTAGTAAGACATCATTTTCTCTTAAGTTTGTTACTAGCAAGAAAATTAATAACTAAATGAACGATTTTAGTTGGTACTATTAGACAAAATAAGGGAGAATAACTTAAACTGACGAAAAACAGTATGCCTTGCTTCTTGATAATTGTTTGCAAATCAGAAAACTTACTACATATAAAAGTAAACGAAATATGAAAGTATAGTTATGGAGTATAAAAGATGATAAACGTTTGTCCGAAACTGTAGCATTTCATAATAATAACAAATTTGGCATAAATATCGTAAACCAAATGATTGGGAAATATATCGCAAAAGCTGGATCTCGATGGTGGCTTCTCAAATATTCTTGTCGAAATAAATATTTGTATATTATAAAACGGACCAATGGAGGAAAATATGTCAAGAAAAGATTTCTTATTTTAATTAATTGACGAACATGCAAGTGATTATAAAAATCTAACAACATTATCCTCAATACAAACAGAACAAGTATTGTTGTATACACCATCGAAAAACCAGACAAATATGTCATCGACACGAAAACGACATCAATTAGGTTATTGTACAAATAATAAAACAAACAGTATTTAGGGAACATGCAATAAACACTTCTATGGTAAATGTGTTGCTACAATGATTTTAATTTGTAAAATATGTATCTAAAATTTATATTTAAGTATATTTTTATAATTATTATTAAAATTATTCTTAATTTTCATTAAATAAAACTGATAAGTAAAAAAATTTATATTTTTTATTGACTATTTTCTTCACAAACAAGTCATTTTGACCTATTCGGTAGAATTAAATATACGTAAAACGTTGATAGGTCTAATTTTAAATACTATATAGGGTGGGTGGAAAGACGTACTACAACCAGCCAAGAGGTAATTTTAAAAAAATAAAGAAAAAATGTGGTATACAATTTTTTCATTCAAGGCTTCATTTTTCAGAAAATCGAATTTGAAGTTTCCTCGACTACGCAATGCAATTTATTTATCATGTTTTCTATTGTCAGTTGTTTCTGTCCGTGCTCGTATTTAAAAACATTGACAATGACAGGATACTATAGGAAATACTCAGACAATCTGATGTCTGATAGAAGTCATAGTTTATCAAATTGCGTAACAGTCCATTTCGTTTCATTTGTTGCAAATTATCAAGTTATGTCAAGGTATCCTAATCGAGAGTATTTTAGTATGTTACTCGCTTTGGGAGCTTGTGGAGGTAAAACTAAAAAATGATAATACGTTACAATCCATTCAGTTATCTTTAATTCGTCGTGCACAGTTATGTGTGCAGCAACGAGTAGGACATTTCTAACAGTACTTGTAAAGTAATAAATTTTAAATTCGTTTTCTCCAAAACAAAATTTCAAATGAAAAAATTGAATACCAAATTTTTTCCTTATTTTTTAACGTACAATTACCATCTGGCCGGTTGTACTACGATTTTTCACCCACCTTGTATAGGTGAAGAAACATGTTAGTATAAGTGTGAACTTACGGACGTACCGAATATGATCTTTCAGTGTTGCTCAGGCTACCAGTGTCAAACGTTTCGTTCTTATCTGAAGAGTATGAGCACAAAGACTGTGCGTGACGTTGCTGGCCAGTAGAACACCTGGAGATAATCGAAACGGATTCCTTGTCTTCGATTCTTCTACTTGCTCTGGTCAACCAGGCGGACGCACTACGTCGCATCGGTTCTCGTAAGCAAGAAACTTTTAATTTCCTGTGCTTCTTACCGACAAATTTCGAATGCCTTCTCGAAATGCTCAGCAAGAACAATTTCTTAAATTTTATGGACTGTTGTATCCTTTTATCAATTTCAATCCGCAACTTACCCACTAAACACTCGTATTTACTCGTCATCGTATTCCTGTCTCTTTTGAATAATTCGATCTCTCTTTCTTTCTCGAGCAATTGCAACTTCAATCCGTCGACTGATTCGTTCTCCTCGCAGACCCGATTTAAAAACGCCGTATTCGCTGCAAAAGTGCTCAGACGTATCTGCATATTAGAAATTCCTTCTTCGAACATCTTCTCCAGCCGCTCTCGTACTTGTTCGAAACGTACTAATTTTGATGTAATATAGAGCATGGTTTCATTCGTTTCGTTAATTTGTTTGTATATGTTTTTCGCTTTCTCGCTGTTCGCGGTGTTTGTCAACGTCGCGTCGTTGAGCTCCGTTCTCAGAGAAATCAGTTCGCGATCTCTGCTTTGAATTTCCGCCAACAGACACTTCAATTTAATTTCCAACATTGACTGCGTCTCTAAGTGTTCTTGCGATAGCTTGCGATAATTGTTCCTCTCCTCCAGGCACTTTTCGAGAACAGTTTCGAGTTCGTTAACCTTTTCGTGCAGCCGGTGCACCCTGGACAGATCGCTTTGCGCTTCCGTCATTCTGCCATTTATCTCGTTCAGTTCCAAAGTTTTCGCGACCACTTCTTTTTCCAATTCCTCGATCTTAGAAACGTGCTCTGCTCTACATTTCACGGACAACGTTTCCATCTGTTCGCGAAGCACGGATAATTCGCTTAACGAGCTGTTAAGACGTATTGAATCATAATTTTCATTTTTCATCGAATTTGTCTTGACCAGATCTTCGGTATTAACTCGGAACATCGTTAAGCTGCTTCTAAACTCCCTAATTTCGGTTTTTCCGAATTCTGAGACTTCCTTCAAAGCACGTATAACATCTTTCATATCATCGACTTGCTGAAGCAATTCCGTAACGTGTTCTTTTTCTTCCATATATTGCTTTCTCAAATTTGCGTTATCGATTTTTAATTGTTCCATTTTTTCGTATACCGTAATATTGTTCGGCGTCAAACTGTCGCAAACACTGGTTGATCTACGGCTCCTGCAACTAGAATCGATACCAGAGTCTTCTTTCATGCTGTCGTCGTGACATTTGCCAGTGTCTGCATCGGAATCGTTCAAAGATACTTTCTTCGAGGACTTTTTGTTATTAAAAGTAAAATAGTGTTCCATTTTGGTGTCCACGTGGGCTTGCGTTATCGGTTCAGTGTCACCAATGTCGTCGTTGCAGAAAAAGTCGTTACTGTAAACCGAGGAGCATTTCCGCGTCGAATCGTCGATGCATTTTTCAATGGATTTTGACTTATCGTAATTGGCCTGACATTTGCGCAACTCGACCAGCTCCTTCTTCAACGACTGTAATTCTTTTTGCAAATCGTGTGTGAAATTTATCTTCCCGTACAATTCGTTTTCAAGATCTTTTGTTTCGATCAAAGTTTCTTGAAACGCAATCCGTGTATCTTGCAATTCTTTCTCTAGCCTCGTCAAGGTAGAAGTCATACTAGCGCAGTTATCTTTTGCTTCGCTCAAATCCTTCTCCAACATTTCGATATTTTTTATCTTTTCGACGAAGGCACGCACCAATCCATCGACAAGTAGAACGGAGTCACTCTTGTCTTCGACGTTTAAAACGAACTCGGGGAAATGCGTTCGAATCGTATCGTAAACATCCATCAGTTTCTGTTTGACCAACGCAAGCTCTAAGCTGTATTTATTTTTATCCGTACGAAGCGACTCGTTTTCAGATTTTAAACTGCACACAGTTTCCCTCAAAACGACCACTTTCGAAGTGATCTGCGCGTTTTCGATTTCGAGATCTTCGTAAATCGACTGAGATTCGTCCGAGCTCTCGTCGTTGTCGCAGCTCGATCTCTTCTTACTACTCGTCAGATTGTCGATGCGTTCTTTGTAAAACGCTTTAACGTGATTCACCGACCACTTCAGTAAATCCTGTTCCTGGTTTTCGATATTTTGTACTCGCTTTGCCCAAGAGGCTTCCAGCTTTTTGATAATGTTCAAATGCTGATTCGACAATTCGTGTCGTATTTCCAGTTCGTGCTTCATGCGTTCGGATTCCAAAGTTTCGAGCTTCTCTATCAACCGTTCGTTCTCGTCTCGCAACTCTTTGCAAACGAGACACAAATTATCTTCCGACTCGGTCTGTCCCTCGTACTTCGACGTCGCTGTCCCGAGATTTTCGCGCTCTTTAAAGCTTCCTGTTTTCTCAGAAGTGTGTACGACAGACGGTAGGAAAGACATCTTCGGATTCCGTGGCGTCGTTTCGGAAACGTACCCTCGTTTAAATTCCTTGGATCCAAATCCCAACCTCCTCGCGATCGAGGAAATATTTAAAGCACCCATCGTTTCGAGAGATAAAATGTCTGCAATGTCGACGGTAACGACGAAACAAATATTTTCCCGACCGGTTAAAGCATTTTGAAGAATTCTCGTCAACTTCGATTCACGGAACGGTCCAATGACTTGATTGCCGCTGGTATGACTGTCGCAAACGCTTTTCAAACATCTTCTAAGTACGAGCAAACTGTTTTCTATGCTTCGCAGCTTCGTTAGACTGGTGGTCTCTATGCTGCTGTTGAAACGTCCGGAGGCAGCCACGTCGCAGAACGTCAACGTACTAACTTGCACTTCGTTCGTTGCATTCTTCTTCTTGTACATCAGTAGTCTGATCATAGCAAAGGTATGAGATTGGGAGCTATCGTCGTTTAATGCTGTCGACGCTACTTTCATCCTCGACTGCGCAAAGACCAACAGTTGACAAGCCTCCAAGCCAGTAATAACGTGAACGGACTTCAACCCTTTTACGTAAGTGGAACCGTCTTTGCGTACCGTCAACTTCAAAGGATATCTTTCTTGATCGTCAACGACCAGTAGATCGTAGACTTTGTCGTTGTAGATCTGTGCAAAGGAGAGCCAAACGGAAGACATCGCGTCCTCTCCACGGATTTCACGATCTTCCAATTCAGGAATCAGTAGACAGGAATTATCGAGGGACGATCGAGCGTTCATGCTTTCGTCCTTTCCTATCACGCTCGGCTTTATTATGCTGTGCTTTAGTTGCGCCTCTTGTTGCTGCTCGTAATCGTCCAAAACAACAATTTGATTGTCGTCGGTGACTTTATACCACGGTACCAGAGTGGAGTTTACTGCAGAGAAGAGGAACTTGATGCTGTGGGGAATAACACCGGGTGATTCTGTCGTTCCATACAGGGTGTAGGTCTTCCCGGAATTAGAAGCTCCATAGGCCACGATCGTTGAACTTTCCCCAAAAAGAAAGGCAACGACACGCTGTCGCACGCTGTGATCAAATAAATCAGCTTGCAACGTTTCCGACTCGAAGATCTTTGTGAAACTGAATTTTTTGTCAGAGTGTTCGCTTTTCTTTACGATAAGAGTCGTCGAGTTTAACACCGTACAACTTTCTTCGTTTACTTCTGTGAATTTTGGTTTTATTCTGAGGTAAACGTTACTCGCGGTTGAGAAATTCGGCAGCGTGTATCTGGATCTAGCGCTTTCTTGAGCATTCATTGACTTACTAGTAGAAGAACAAGGATTGCAACTTCCCGTAGATTTCGGTGAATCGGCTCTCAAGGAAAACATATTTTGAAGAACAAATCTAAAGTTAGTTAGATAATAGGAAAAACGAATTAAAAATTACAATATTTTAAACAGACAAATTAGGAGAGAACTACCATGAATGGGACATTATAATTATCTCAAAAAGTGTGAATCTATAATGAAATTATATTTAGAATGAATTATAATGTAATTATACTTATAATGAATTATAATGAATTATAATGAAATTATATTTATTTTGTAACTATGCTGCGCCTAATTAATCACACGCAATGCGAAGCCGCTGTCAGTTCGTATTAATTATGTTTGACAATTAATTTCTTTCATGCTTGAAAGTAATACTTTTTCTTTATTACTTTTGATTCAGCTTTCATTTATTGCATTCAATCAAGTATTTTTTCAAGAATATTGACACATAGCATTTGATATCTTTTTTAGTAGTAATTAAACAAATTAAATTTATAATCTTGTTGCCAAAATGAATGGAACACACAGAATATTCAGATTTGTTAAGTATTACAGAATTTGGGTCAGATGAGAAAATTATAATACTATTATTAAAAATAAATGTAATAGAGGAAGAGGTGGAAAAGACGATGATGAATGCCAAATTTATAAAGAAAAAATGTTTTCAAAGCGTTGAAGATTGATATCGGTCCAAAGTCTGAGATAAATGGATACACGAAACATGTAAAATAACTCATCTTTCGAATACTTAAAACTAGCATTAGACAGGTCGATTAGTTTTTCTGTTATCTTGACTTAAATAAAAATGTCCCATTCATGGCAGCGCTCCCGTACGTATGTACATATGTATTATATTACCTTTTCGGCTTCAAGAATCGTAATACAATTGAATTAAAGTTGATTCACGATAGCTTTTAGATACACGTAAGAGCAAAATCATTTGTCCTGTTACTGCCCATTTTTTAAATTTCTCCCTACTCTGTAGGTTACAAGATATGTCGACGTTAAACAACGAATATATACGAATGTTGCTTCGATATTATTTGACATTCAGAACTGTCACTTGTTTACCAAATACCGATTTCTTTCCATATAACCATAGAATACAAATTTCTTTTTTATTTGAGATATGTCAATGTCTCTTGAAATTATCTTGCTTTATACATATATACTATCATCATTATCGTCATTATTTTGCACATTTGTTGTAGCAGAAAATACGCCAATACGTAAATTAGTAAGATATTACAAATAACCCTGCTTAATTTTGAATGACCATCATTTATAGGCCATTATATTCGTCTTGAAAAGATCTATCAGAACATACATAAATACCTATATCACACCATTTAAAAGAACAAGTTTAACCTTTGTATCTCCTCTACGCCTCTACTTACAAAAAAATGATTAGCATCGGTTTATGTTTCGAAATCAAACAACTTTTGTCTGACACTCTTTTTCCTATAATTACAGACAAGTGAGTTAGCCATTTGCTCGGCGACGACAATAAAAAATAGTCATACTTATCCAAATCACTGAAACTAATTTTCGAAATATTAATTGGATTAATCAATTTTAATGATTAGGTTAGGTTTGGTTATTTTTTACTTTATCGTTATAATATACTTTAAAAGTAATTAAAATGCAGCTTTACCATTAAACATAGAAGGCAATTACAAGAGAATATTACGATTTAGCGATGTAACAGACATGAATTTTTTGAACTGGATTATGAATCCGTTAGAAATAGACAAAAAATGTTGATACGGTGCTTTAGAAAAATCTTATTGAATTACAGAGTGATACAAGTGCTCAAATAAGATTTAAAAAAGAACGAAAATTTCTAGCTAAATACATATCCAGCTAACAATACATAATACTCCCACTTCTGGGAAAAAGCAAAATTATTTTTTATTCTTTCTTCTATCTTTTATCAATCTTCTTCCATGAGAAACAAAATCACGTAATCGTTTGGATATAGTCAATACAGGCGATTTTCGACTAGCACTGATACTTCTACAACCGAATGTTGTAAACCTTGCATCCTGTCATCAAGCACAGGTATCCCATTCAATGTTTACTAATTGCAAGTACACGAAATATCTGACTTCAATTTAATGCACTGACAATTTGATTTACAGGTATCCCTCGAGTCACGCGGTTTTGGAGCAATTTTACTTAAAAAGAAAATATATATGTAATTATAGATGAATGTTTCTAAATAAAAAAGAGTATAATAAGTATTTCACAATATGTATTTCACAATAGCTTGTATATATTTCAGAACATTTTGAAATACATTTTTAACACATATGCAGATAATATCGACGCACACCATTATTAGAAACTCATTCGCCTACAGTAGTAGACTTGCGATAAAAGCCATTTAGTCTCTCAAAACTTTCGATCTATGCTCATAAATTTGATTCACAATTATTAATTTGCATTGGTTATAAATTTTAAGTTGTTCGGTTTGTACATACATACTGGAGATCCTGATTTTTTGGAACTTTTTAAAATTTCAGAATTAATTACAAAGATTAATTTTTGATATTTTCCAGGTAAGATTTTTTATTCAATTGAATAATATTGTAATTTGCACTAATTTTGAGTCTCGACTTACGCGGAACCAATTAACCGCGTAACACGAGGGATACCTGTATGTGAATAACTAAGAGTACAATACAAGTATATATGAGTATTTTTTCTAAATTCAAATTTATGAGTAAAAAAGGAGGGGGCCATAGAGGATGCCATGGCCAGAAGGGAGTCGTAGGTCAGAAAAGGTTTAGAAACCCTGACCTAGAGAATTAGAAGATAATAATCGATACCTACACAATATGTATTTGGTTTCTCTGTTTTCCAACGACCGTGAGTCGGTGAAAGACTAGCAGAAATTCGTCTGTGGGTGTCTCGAAATATCTTCAAAGTCGCCAGGCAAGCAGCAATTTATATGCGTGTCGTTCTGCCCATTAAATACAGCCAATCAAAGAGGAAGCTAATAGTCGTGTCCGGCATCGTTCGGGATGGGTCACGCGACCACGAAACCAGGCGTAATCTCGGCAACGGAATCGTATCGCAAGCACAAGTCGACCACTGTGCACTAGTAGGCATCTCGAGGGGGCCGAGTTGTGGAATCGTCGGTGCCTTTCAACTCACAATCGACTCCTTGTATCGACGTTCCTACCTCCCCGCCCCTCTACACGTGCTCGACGCGGAGATTTCGCTTTACGTTTTCGCCGCAGCCTCGTCATATATCGCCTCATCGCACACGGTCTTCCCTTTTCGTATTTTGCATCTTTTTGAGGCCGCGGTGCCGGTTTTTGGCTAAAGACCGTCGCCATTGGTGGCCTCCTTGCACCATTACAACTTTCTACCGAACGGATAATCGTTCCCATTCTCTAATTAAATATTTACAGTCGCGTTACTGTTCTTTTACTGACAGTCAGACTTCCGAGAAATACATACATGTGTCGAACAATAAGTAAGTTATTCACACGCGGTAACTTCCGTTTCAACCGATACAAATTGTCATCAAATTATTTAGCTTTTAAAAATCTTAGATCGGCATGTAAAAAATTGTAACGGATATGTTGGATTAACCACGTAAGTCGTGTTGGGTCTAGTATTCCAGATAATATGAAATTGTTGTAGACTTTAATAAATTTCATGTCTAAACTTAAGATTCTCTTATAACAAGTTTAAAAACATTCATTTCTTTTTTTCGTTAATGAAATGTATAGCATTTCAATAATAAGTTTCCAAAAATTTCAAGATACTTTGTAAGTAGCTGTATTTTAAAACTTTATTAAAACCTTTAACCCTTAAGTGGAGTTTCAATCTCAACTGAATTATTTTACTTAATGTTGATTTTTACCGAATTAGTAAATGGAAATCAACTTTCCTTTAAAGCATTTAAAAAATAGTAACTAATGATGGATTAAATAAATTTCCAAATAATTACATTGACATATATTAAACAATTAGTAGTTTTAACTTCGGAGGGCCACAGCGGCCCCAATAATCCACTTTAGGATTAAATACGTTTCTTTCAAAATCACGTTCTCCAAATCGATGTCTAAAATAACAGAAAAAGTAATTGATTGATCAATCTGAAACATAGCTCATTTTATTTGTTATATATTTCTCCAAAGACTGAACTTAAAATTTCAATGTTAGCTATTATTTGTTGTATCTTTTTCCATCTTCCATTTAAATTTAACTTAGTTAAGGGAAAATGGTAATTTTTATTTCAAAGAATACAATTTTCAATTTTTTCATTTGTCTAATAAACGGGGTCTAATAAATGTCTTGCTTACAAATTAACAACAGATATTTTAAAAAATTCATAAATATGAAATACTTCTAGAGTTGTTACACGAAAATCCCCCCTTAAATCGTGATAGACTCACATGATTTATAATGATTTAATTTTTAACAATGATGTTTCTATTATTCAAATTGCTGAGTTTTTTAATGAAAGAAATTTATTTTTGTATGTAATATCTCTATATAATATATCTGAAATTCCTCTGTATAGTCTGGTCGTACATGGGCCAACTTCTAGAAAACATAATATTCTCATTCGTCAAGAGGCTCATAATGTCTGAACAATTGGATTTCTTTTCGGCATATTCCACGTTTTTAAAGCAAATTAATTCAAATGTATTCAAAGTAAAACCAAGTTGTAAAATAAAGAATCATTATTATTATTAACTTTCGTTTTAAAAGTGATACAACGAATGTAAGAAGTATTTGTACAGAGGGGAATTACAACGAACATTTTATATACCTCGATTTATTAATAAACGTGTTAATAAACGTTTGAAATGAAGTTCAAAAATTGCAACTGTACGCAATATGCTTCATAGATGCAACACTGATGTCGATTAAATTGCATCAATATTGATAGTATATTAAATATAGGGCGTCATATAATAAATGCTTTTAAATTTGAGATACGTGGTGTTATAAAACTCTTGAGAGCAACAAATTATTCTCAGCGTGCAATTTATAAAAAATTGGTTTCTTGTATATCGCAAAAATGCTTGGAG